TAAAGTCCCACTTTTTTTCTTGAAGAATGTCACATTTAACTGCAAGCCAAATGGGTTGCGATTATCATTCCATGTTGACTTTAAGTCTGTTGCTAGAGAACGCCGTTTTTCTAAAATGTAACGAAACCTCTAAAATTGAATTTTGTTTAGTTTTTACTATAATCGAAAGCCGTGCCATCACTCGTCTAGACATAATTAGTTGCTTAAATGTTCTTTACATTTCTCATGGCTGCTGCTGATTTAGCTATGTGGTCCTAACATTTCTTTTAGCTTGGGGAGAGACATTGATTAACAATGTAATTATCCTCGGAGCGTTTGGAGCGACTGGAGTGGGAAACCTATCAGCAGCGAGGATGGCAGCGGGCTGCCAGGGGCCGAGAGGAGAACGGGTTGTGTGACTCATGATGTCTGTTTGTCGCAGGTGGCTTAATGTGGATTTCTCTCCTGTTTTTCTCTCCTTTTGTTGTGTTTTTCCACAGCTGGCTGTGCGGCTGGGTCCAGGCACGCCACTGCAGCCTCGCTGCATTAGATCATTAGAGCTAGCCCATCCACTGCGTGTCGACTAATGGGGGCTTCAAATCACTGCAAACTGCAAAAACAGAGAGCTGGAACAAAGAAGGTGATTATGAAAGCTCACATAACCTTTCACCTTCATCCACAGGCAGGGGGCATAATGCTTTTGTTTGTACTGAAAAACCTGCTCCCTAACAACTAGTAAAGACGTTATTAGAGAGGCCCCACTTTCAGGAAATAGGAAACTATGGAAAAGAAATGACAATTAAAGTCAACGTGAAATCAAAACTGGCCTTATGTTTTGTCTATATACACATTTCTGGTTCATTAGTGCACGTTATTCTGAAAAAAAAAGTAATCTTTGATCAAAATATAATGACTTGCTCCTCCTCAGAAACAGTTTTTGCCTTTGATTGATGTCACCTAGGCCATACTAGCTTTGTGGGCATTTTTATGCCTTTTTCCAACCCAGGCTCATTGGAAAAAATGTTGCTTATGGTGACTTTTAAAAAAAAAAAAAAAAAATTCCATAAATGCGGTTCTTTTGAACTTTCTATTAATCGAAGAAAAAAAATGTATCATGGTTTCTACAAAGTACAACTGTTTTCAAAAGTAATAATAAAAAAAAAGTGTTTATTGAGCACCAAATCAACAAATTGGAAATACGAAGTACTATTAGAAAAATTCAACTTTGCTTCACAGGAATAAATGACATTTTAAAATGCATTCGAATAATAAAAAAAAAAACAGTTCATTGTAATATTGTAATTTTGATCAAATAAATGTAGCCTTTGTAAGCATAAGAGACTTTGACTAGTATGGTGTACACCTTTATTTTAAGCATTTTTGATTTATGAATAAAAGAAAACCAATCATTTTGTCTGGACAGGATGAATTCCATTACTTCAGTGCTTCTGAAAATAATGCCACAATGCAAAATATATTCGTAGCTCTGAAATTAGCTTTGTGTTCCGAATACAATTTTCTCTTGGTTTCAGAGTGAAATATGACCAAGATTTGTTTCACAGAGATGAATGTGAAGGGAAAAAGTGTCCAAATCTGCTCTGATTTGATGTAATTCAATACTTTAGGTGATGATAATAATAACGGGTCTGTTCCTGTCCCATTTCTGCTGTATTGGTTTGGTTTTTCCCAAATATTTTCTCAGTCTGAGATATCCATGTACTACATGTGTATCATTTGGCCCTATTTTCTGCCAGAGTACAACTATTAACAGAATGCGTTTCGTAGCACAGTCTGACTGATGCAACCGTTTGAAAACAAGCCAGCGTTGGGAAAAATCAGCCGGAACGCTTCTCCATTGATTCGATTATCTGGAATTAATGACAAGCACAATCTCCGGCTTTGACGCATACACACACACACACACACACACACACACACACACACACACACACAGAGTCACTGTAGAGGCATTACCGTTAGATCTTAACGCTCTCTGTTCCGTACACGTTGTAGCCTTCTCGGTACGTGGCAAAGTTTTGGGTGTTGGCTGGCGGGGCTGGCTTATAGTTTGGGGTGTTCTTTTCAAGTTTCAACCGTTTGGCTTCTGCACGTGACTTGTAGCAGAACTCTATCAAAGCCACCATCATGGCCAGCCCTAGTCCACCAACCAGAATATAGAAGACACCAGCAACATTGCTCAGGCTCAGTGCACTTGTCTTGTCCTAAGAGAAGCGAGGGACATAGTTAGCATATCTTACAGTGGCAATCCTGACACAAAACACACTATACAGTACAACTCCTCTCATGTTCTATCAAGCAGCACTACTGGCTATAAATTACATTTCTACTGCTACCAGAGGAATCTAGATTCCAATGGAGAGAAAATATCCATCTATGTCTAAAGTCTATGAGTCAATTAGGACCATAACTGGTGAATGTAGATGGTTTCTCTAACCTGCTCTTCTCATTGGCTTCTTCATGTATCTGAGGAAGCTGGTCAGTTACGTACAGGTCAGACCTCTGACTTAATAACCTTACTTTAAACAACTGCCTTTCCATCCTTTAACCTTCAAATTCATATTTTGACATATTTTCTACACCAGAGTACTGAAATTAAGAACCATTCTGCTGCAGTTTACCCCCCAAACTTGTCCATTAAAAATTTGTCCATTAGTATTACACTATTTGCCGCTTATGGAGCTCGTTTTACACAGCCGCCGTTTAACTGCTGCATTTTTACTCTTCAGCTGTCTATTGCTGCAAATTAACCGTCGCCTTTGCGTTATAAACAAGATTAGTCAACCTTTGCTCATCTAATGAAACTTGTGCTGAAACTGTTTGTCACGATGAGAAATGCTTTCGCGGTTAACGCCACAGGAGTTCGATAAATGAACGGGCCTTTTTATTGCGTAAAAGACAAATAAGTAACAACACTAATACATCAAATTTTAAATTCAAAGTTTGGTGAGTAAGAACTGCAGCATAATGGTTATTGAGTCAAGTGAAAATAAGCAAGAAAGACAATTGGTATACAAAAATGAATCTAATCTCTTGATCAATTTGCACTTTTAACTAATTCCCCATTCGATTTATCATTACAGCTTTATTTGAGGGCATTCACTGGAAGAACTACTAGAATAAACAACAACAGAAAGATATGTCTCATAAGCACCCCTTAGCTGAGCATTGGAAATGATGGGGAATCGTGCAAAACGCTAGGCCACGCGTCATTATTGTTTCCTTATGTGTGGCCGCAAGTCATTAATTCTACTATAATACATGAGTTAAATCAAGATATTGACTATTGGTTTGTTCCTTGCATATGAACAATATGTCAAAATGCACTTTTTGGAATCAGTACAAAAGACCTGCAGCGACTGACTTGACATATTTTCTACACCAGAGTACTGAATTTAAGAATCAGAATGAACCATTCTGCTGCAGTTTACCCCCCAAACTTGTCCATTAAAAATTTGTCCATTAGTATTACACTTTTTGCCGTTTTTATCGAGCTCGTTTTACACTGCTGCATTTTTACCGTTCAGTTCTGTCTGTTACTACAAACGAACTATCGCCTTCACGTCACTAGGCGACCTTCGCTCGTCTAATGAAACTTACGTCGAAACTCTTTGTCATGATGAGAAATGACGTTCATGGAGGTTCAATAAACAAACAGGCCTTTTTTCTTGTGGAAAAGACAAATAAGTAACAACACTAATACATCAAATTTTAAATTCAAAGTTTGGTGAGTAAGAACTGCAGCATAATGGTTATTGAGTCAAGTGAAAATAAGCAAGAAAGACAATTGGTATACAGGAATGAATCTAATCAGACGATCAATTTGCACTTTTAACTAATTCCCCATTAGATTTATCATTACGGCTTTATTTGAGGGCATTCACTGGAAGAAATACTGAAAAAAAAAAAACAAAAAAAAAAACAGAAAGATATGTCTCATAAGTACCCCTTAGCTGATCATTGGAAATGATGGGGAATCGTGCAAAACTCTAGACCACGCGTCCTTATGGTTTCCTTATATGTGGCCGTAAGTCATTAAATCTACTACACATGGGTTAAATCAAGATATTGACTATTGGTTTGTTCCTTGCATATGAACAATATGTCAAAATGCACTTTTTGGAATCAGTACAAAAGACCTGCAGCGACTGACCTTACTTCCCGAGTCCTTGGTTCCACATTCACCCTTATCGTACCACCATTTGTTTTTCAGCTTGGCTAAGATGCCTTGTTCACTGAGTTTCAATACTGCAAGGTTTACAGGAGTTCTTCACGTGGGAAATAACATAAATAACATTATATTATGTTATTTTATGTTATTCAAGTCTTAACTACTTCATACTTTACAAAGCGATAAAGCAGGGCTCCTGGCCATTATCAACACACATGTGGCAGGCATTCTAACTAGTACCTTCCATTCACCAGGGCTAAGCTAGTGTGCCAGGACCTACCCGTATCGCTTTGAGTAATCGGCATACACTGTTAAGAGAAGAACGGGCAGGTTTCTGCGTGGCTATAAAAGCAGAGAAGCGTCTTGGTTAATTTGAGCATCTGAGAATGTGGATCTCCACTGGAACCCTCGACTGACTGACAGACCAACGGAAATTACCAGTAGTATTTTGCTCAGGCTGAGGAGAGCTGGCGTTAGGACTCTGTGAACGGATTACAGGCGGAGAGTACAAAGAAACCAAACAGGCAAACACACATACAAAAGTAAACAAGACCGTACACACATGAGTCAAAGCATTTGCAAAGTACAACACTGTGTTACCTGGGTGCTGGAGTTAACCGAACCGGTGCCTAGTCGCGCTACGTCAAAGGCTAGTGTCGCTAATCGGTAGCTGCGGGTACTGTAAACGACATTAGCATTAGCGGCTAATGAAACGGTGACTATATTGTGATCAATGATTGATGTGGTGGCCATTTGGTGTAATACTCTTCAATTATATACAGTTAACGCAATGCTATTCATTAAGTCATTAAGTCAATTCATTAAGTCATTAAGTCAACATGAAATCAAATCAATATATTTTCATAATATACATGCATGTCTTATTGCTCAAGACTCTCCAAAAGAAGCAATACTGCACAATACGGCAAAGAAAAATATATTTGCCTTTGTAATCGTTCATCATAATGCAGTTGATGACTGGAGTATGTTTTACAGGAAAAAATACTATGAAAAATAATATTTTAGACTGTTTACTTCAAAATTACACCGCTGACTGCTGTTTCCTTGTAATTACTTGTGAAATTTACTAGCAACTTCTGTCTCAAAGTAAATCCTGCACTATTTTTTCCATGATATATGCAATCAGTTCTTGTTAACTGAAATAAAGTCCCACTTTTTTTCTTGAAGAATGTCACATTTAACTGCAAGCCAAATGGGTTGCGATTATCATTCCATGTTGACTTTAAGTCTGTTGCTAGAGAACGCCGTTTTTCTAAAATGTAACGAAACCTCTAAAATTGAATTTTGTTTTGTTTTTACTATAATCGAAAGCCGTGCCATCACTCGTCTAGACATAATTAGTTGCTTAAATGTTCTTTACATTTCTCATGGCTGCTGCTGATTTAGCTATGTGGTCCTAACATTTCTTTTAGCTTGGGGAGAGACATTGATTAACAATGTAATTATCCTCGGAGCGTTTGGAGCGACTGGAGTGGGAAACCTATCAGCAGCGAGGATGGCAGCGGGCTGCCAGGGGCCGAGAGGAGAACGGGTTGTGTGACTCATGATGTCTGTTTGTCGCAGGTGGCTTAATGTGGATTTCTCTCCTGTTTTTCTCTCCTTTTGTTGTGTTTTTCCACAGCTGGCTGTGCGGCTGGGTCCAGGCACGCCACTGCAGCCTCGCTGCATTAGATCATTAGAGCTAGCCCATCCACTGCGTGTCGACTAATGGGGGCTTCAAATCACTGCAAACTGCAAAAACAGAGAGCTGGAACAAAGAAGGTGATTATGAAAGCTCACATAACCTTTCACCTTCATCCACACGCAGGGGGCATAATGCTTTTGTTTGTACTGAAAAACCCGCTCCCTAACAACTAGTACAGATGTTACTTATTAGTGAGGCCCCATTTTCAGGAAATAGGAAACTATGGAAAAAAAATGACAATTAAAGTCAACATGAAATCAAAACTGGCCTTATGTTCTGGCTGAATACACATTTGTGGTTCATTAGTGCATGGTATTCAAAAAAAAAAAGATAATCTTTGATCAAAATATAATGACTTGCTCCTCCTCAGAAACAGTTTTTGCTTTTGATTGATGTCACCAAGGCTATACTAGCTATGTGGGCATTTTTATGCCTTTTTCAAACCCAGGCTCAATGGAAAAAAATGATTATCGCAACCTTTTATGATTACGTTGCTTCTTGCAGTTTTGTGACACTTTAAAACATGTTCAGTTTTATCCAAAAACAGATGAGCATGAGTCTAGCAACGTTTTACAAAAAACTACGGCTGTTGTACGTATCATAAATGAAATGTCTGCTGAATGGCGCTAAAAGGTTAAAGTTCTATCGCATTTATGATTAATGAAGCACCTACACTAAACCTAACTGATAGTCTTAACTGATACTGAATTAGTTTATGACTCTTGCACTTTTTTTTTTTTCGATGTCACAATTTAACTTGCCATAACTAGTATTGCTAGTGTTCATTTCAGCTGTAAACCGCAGTGAATTGTATGTATACAGTTGGTACATTTTTGGAAGTATGTTTTTTCAATAAGCCTGGGTTGTCTTTTTCTGTTCTGGGTGATGTAGGATTTCTAAAATCTTAGTATGCATAAGTCAGTGCAGTAATCTAATGCTAGTTAATTAATAAAAACTATAATAGCAAAAATTGCAAATACCTTGCATCAATGTTTTCTAATCGATCATCCAACAACAACAAAATTTCACCCACATTACGGAATGCCATTTCATGTTGACTTTAAATCAAATGAAAAATATTCCCCAATTCCCCAAAAATGAGATTAAACAACCTATTCTAGCACTAACAAAATCTAGTATATTTTAAGTGGAGAAAAAGCTAGCATTTACAATCCTACATTTTATGCAAATGTAGACTGAAGTATTATGGTGGAGTGCAAGAAATTTGAGTTAAATTGAAATGCTTTTAGTGGTTTCATAAATCCTTTAACATGTCGAGAAAAATGTATGCTCTATATTGCATTTATTATACAAACTACATCCGTGCTCTACTTTGGCAAATTTTAAGGTCCTGAAAATGAGGCTTTTAACGCTGTACACTTTTAAGTCTGGGACACACATGAAAAAGCACTGTTAGCCCCCATCATGTGTGTCCCCATTTTGACTATTATTCTCAAAACAAACAACACGAACAGTTCCATATAAAAGTGATTTTGCCCTTCTGTATGCTGGGAATTGACCTGGAAAGTCTAAGGGTAGCACATCAGTTAATCTTCACCTCCGCATGAGTACAAAATAAGGGCTGGACCGGGCCCAACACGTCCCACATATACCCTGCTGTGTGGGTTTACATCGGCCTCGAGAAGGGAGGACAAATAGCCAGGATCAAACGAAGTGATGGACTTCTGATCCTGTGCTCAGATTGGTGTGGAGATGGGAATGCTCATGTATGTGCACTATTCTTAGCCACTCAAGATCACACTGTTTGTGTCAGTGTTTTACCAGTCCTGATCTATGCTGTCTATTAGTCCTGTCAGACATTAAACAAGTTTTTGGATGTTACAATGATTTGTCCTCTCATACTTCACTTAAAACACTGCTCTGATTGGCGGGACTTCACACGCTTCCCCTTTAACTTCTGGAATAAATGGTGAAAAGTTGTTGCTATTCTATCTGAGAAAAAGCAAACTAACTAAGAAGACTAAGTCAGCTGCCTAGCAGAAGCAAAGCGAGAAGGCAATCTCAAGTCTCTCTTTACTGTCTGCCAGGCGGATGTTTTCTCCGATTCCTAAAACACGAACAGTTCACCAGTCTCAGCGCTAATATCGCTAATGAACTAGCGCCGCTCCAGCTGCTAACCAAACAGCATCGCTAACATCTGTGTGTGAACGCTACACTAAAGTGCGAAAAAAAACAAAAAACAAAGTAACTTCTCCTCAGTAGGACAAAATCATACTGGTCATTTTCTCTCCTCCGTTAGCCAAGTCAGGGTTCTGGTTTAGCTCTCAGATAAAGTGGGGTCACTGAAAGGATGCATGTTTTTTTTGTTGGTTGTTGGTTGTTTTTTTTGGCTCGGTTCAGGGATAACAGGCTTGCCGATTACTCTGTACTATGGTACCCGATTTCGGTGACATTGAGGCTGACCTTGGAGTCACCTCCCCCGCTGCCGCACTCTCCCTTGTCGTACCACCATTTGTTTTTCAATTTGTCCAACAGGCCTTGCTCATTCAGTTTTAAAACTGCCAGGTTAACAGCATTTCTTGAAACAATAAAACATAACTTGTAAGAAAATGCACAGGTCTGTGAGCAATCTACTGCATTAGCATAGTAGTAGTAATGGTAACGTTACTGAATACGGTGAGCTACTACTACTGAGAGTCAATTATAGCAGTAATCAGAATGGTTGAAAGAGCACAATTTGGTTAAGAATTTCACGAATATGAAGGTAAGAGACGCTCAGAGCAAAGAAAGTGTTAAATATTCAAGGTGGCATGGAGGGTTACGCTGTTTCAAACTGAAGTGTGCGGGATGGGGACATTGTCATTGAGAAGAAAAGTAACAACAACAAACATCATGCAATTAACATTCGTCACAAGTGACAGCGCAGCTTTTACAAGCTAAATTGAAAAACCGTTGAACTGTTAAATTAAAAGTGACAACACGACAGTCAGGAAGGACAGCCACACGAGACAGCGAGAGAAAGATCGAAGGACAAAAAAGACAGCAGAGAGACGGGAAGGGAGGCAGACACACACACACACAAATGTGAAATGATTGATTAAATTAGCCACTGATAAGTCTCGAAATGAATTGAAAAACCGTTGAACTGTTAAATTAAAAGTGACAACACGACAGTCAGGAAGGACAGGCACACGAGACAGCGAGAGAAAGATCGAAGGACAAAAAAGACAGAAGAGAGACGGGAAGGGACGCAGACACACACACACACACACACACACAAATGAGAAATGATTGCTTAAAATAGCCACTGATAAGTCTCGAAATGAAAAATATCTGGTTGAAAAACTGGAAAAGAAGACAAACATTTAAAGAAGAGAGAATTGATCAGAAGCATCATTGTGAATCAAATAACATTCATAATGCATTATACCATTACCTCTTTGTCGTAACAGGGGGATTGGGGGAGGGAGGGAGGGAGGTAGGGAGGGGATGAGGAAATGACAACACAGGACATCAGGGTAGGTGGAATACTATAACAACATGGAGAATATTGTTATATTATTCCACCCACCTTAATGCTGAGCCTTTGGGGGTCGCCACACCATAGCCCTTAGAGTCCAGATTGCCGCCCACTTTCATGGTGTCGCAGGGCTTCCTCTGCTCAATGTATTCGTTCATGGTTGATTCGAGAAGAAAGGCGAATTTGCCCTTCGACTTTCGTACCCGTGCCACTCCGTCGGGCGTGGTCTTGGCGAAGACGGAGGGCTCGGCCGATTTCATGTACGACCACATTTTTTCGTACACTGCTATTTTTGAACGCTGTGCAAAGGAGACAAGAAAAACAGACATATGGCCATTATTCATGAAGTGCACAAAGATTGCATTTACACATCATGTCTTATGTAACTTAATAATAGATAATAAACACCGAAATCATACAGAATTACAGACCTCATGTATTTAGTTCACAATAAGATTGCAGAGTATGTGATACACCGAGTAGTAGATTAGTTCTACCACTGTTCAATGCTTTAATCACCAAGGTTGGGAAAGTTACTTTTAACTAGCTAGAATCCATGACGCCATTCTCCGAGTGCTTCATGGATACGACAAGCACCATGCATTACTTTTAAAAGTAATGCATTACAATATTACACTACTTAATTTTAAAAAAAGTAACTAATTGGGTTTCTTTTAGTTACTTTTTATGGAAAGTAATGCATTATGTTACTTTTGCATTACTTTTTTGTCACCTGGGCTGGGCTTGCTTATTTATTTGTTAATTACAATAAACCGCAAAGTTATATTTTTGGCAACTGTAAAGGCCCTTTCACACCAAAAGCGAAATTAATACAGGAGGGAAAGGAGAGGTGGTCAGTGAATAAATGGGAAAACAAAGTAACTTGCGTTACTTCGTTAAGAAAAATCTGATTATGTAACTCGTGTTACTTGTAATGCGTTACCCACAACATTGTTGATCACATTCAGTAGTTTCTGTCTGTCAGCAACAGGAAGATGTTTCGTAGGTCCATAAACTGCGAACCAGTGTATGTGCATGTCATTAGTCTTGCATGCTAACCTATATCAAATTAAATTTGCAATTGTGTGAATGTGAAAAAGCAAAACCAAAATGCTTTGCATTCACAATGCATGCTATCCACCCTTCCTGAATGCCGAAGTCTCATCTGACTCATACCAGAATACTGTTTTATATTTCCAGTCTCTGGCATTTCTAGTCAAATTAGCTTATTTTTCTAGCTGTTAATGTAATGTTAAACCTATTAAAATGGCTTGATAATGTGTTAAAAATGGCTGGTGTCATAGTGACAGTCTTTAGCGGTGCCCCAGCTGTCAAAGTTTAATGAGTGGGTATTTGACTATAGTTTACTACTGTCAAAACAGTTGGGTGTCAATATCCTACATAGAGCAAAAAAAAATAAAAAATTGCGAACAACTTCAAAGAATCTAAAACTGACCAAATGTCTCCCTGAGGCTGACTGAAACATATGTTTGCTTTATATTTGATTTATACTAACTAACACTCTCTGCCAGCCATAACTGATTATGCACACTTACTAGTCCACTCTTTTTTTCCTGAAACAAATTGTCAGTTATATTTAAATAAGTAGTTTAAGTTGGAGCCCAAAACCTCCTGCGCAGCGCTCTGATATGCAATACAGCTGCCGATCCCGTCCCCCCTTTCCTGATCTCTGTGCTGTCCCATCCAATGAAGACATAAAAATATAACTTAAAGTAGTTTAGTAGCAATCATACAGAGGTGTCTGTTCTTAAAGTAGTAGAGTTTCAAATAGTCAGTGCTGAACTGAAGGTGCAAAAACTGCAGAATTATTTAATGCATCAAGGGGAACATAAATAATGACAGCATATGCCAACATAGACAACTGCATCAGCAAAAAAGTCACAGCGGTTTGCTTCCAGAACACCATGAGGAACAGATGGACACTTTATAGGATTGTTGCTAAATGACACAATAATAGAGCCTTAAAAATCACCAAAGAACCAAAGAAGTTTATGGCAGGGCTGTTATTCAGAAAGCACTTGTGTTCAGTGCCAAGACGTGAGGAAACACACATCTGGTGAATGGAGAATTAAACCTGGCAGCTGAAAGAAAAGTGTCCAGTGGCATTGCTTACATCTGGGCTGGTTTATGTTTGAATAAAGTCAAAGGAGGCTTCCAGCCCGTTGTATCTGTTGGTAACTGTCAAATGTGATTGGGGATGTGTAACATTATGGGCTGTTTTATCACGGGAGTCGTTATATCAAATGATTGTTGCGTGCGATCATATACCAGCTGAAGAATATGAGGCTGTTTTTACTGCTGCACTGTATATTGCATGCCTATTCCCTCATGATATTCCCATATTCCCCCAAACACACATCTGCACTATATAATAAAGACTAAGATGGCCTTCCTCATCATTAGCTATAATCACTGAATTCTTATGGGATGTTCTGGAGCTAAAGTACAAAACTGATTATTTTGGTGGGGGATCTACAGAATTCAGAAGAAACATGAGTCAAATTCAGGTCAAAGCCGGGAACTCCAATGACATGAAAATATACTGGGTTTTTGTCATTACGAGTGCTGTTAAGTGTGCATCAAGATGACAACTAAACACAAAGCCCACAGCGTCCACATTACTCTTTCTATTAATAATGGATACATCACTATCCGTAATTAAAATGCTATCAAGTGAAACTGCATGAATAGCGGTTTTACTGCATCAAGGTCGATAAACAACTCCATTAACATTAACATACTTCAAAAAATGTGATATATGGTGCTACTGACAGAGAATAGCTGACCACTCAATATTTAGATCCAGATCCTATCAATAATAACACATTTGACCAATATTAACACAGTAAATATTGTATGAGTAGGATATCAATAGTGGTCATTTATGAAACCTTTACGAAGACCATACTTCACTCATTGCAAGTTCAAAGTCAAGTCAAAGATGCCAAAAAGACGATTTTCATATTAATGCATGACAAAACTATTGCTGCATCCCAACCATCTACTCTAATAGTATTCAAGATGATAATTAGCGCTCCTTAAATCATAGTACACTGAAAATAGTGTGTCAAAGATGCCGGGATGTATCCCAAAACTGTCTTCCTACTCCGAAGTATATACTGTCCCATGGGTCTTACCTAAGCTGAATATAGTACCTTATCTTTTTTTTTTTTTTTTGGACATTTACCATTTGTATTCATTGATGTCTCTTGAGTACACCTCAGCATATTTTTTTTAAAGAGTACTTATTATGAAAATAATGTACTTTATACTGTACTTGAACCAAATGTACTTTATACTGTACTTGAACCAAATGTAATGTCTTCAGACACTTGCATGTTTGCTCTCTTTATTTCAAGTGGCCTTTTATTTCGAAAAATATATTTTTTAAATATAAGATTTGAAGCACAAGCGTGCATTCAATATGATTAAGAGCACTTCTTTTTCACAAGGAGTACCTTGAAGGACCATATAAATACCAAGGCTAATAAAAATAGTGATCATTCAGTGATCACCCTGGTTCACTGTACATCAAAGTCCCCACATATTAGCAGTTTTGTACCATGATAAAATGCTTCACAGGATACAAACTTACATCACGTGGTCAAACCCAAACCCTACTACCTCAACTATAATGGGAAGCATTTAAACCTTCCTTCGAGGCGAGACAATCCTACAACACCAATTTGGGTCAAAAGAGAGTTGTTGCTCTGAAAACTTGCGTCTTCATTCTACTTCAATATGTCACTTCAACTATAGAAGATGTGTGAATAACAACTGAGATAAGAGGACTAGAGACAGGGCGACTGCGAGAGTGACGTGAAGTGGAAAGCTCAACCGTTCTCTCCTCCCTTCAGTTTGGTCAAGCATTACCGGAGCCTACATTGTGCCGAGCTAGGGGTCATATCATTCAGCTCGCAAAATGAAAGTGTCACTGCACCACAGACGTGCAGCCTGGCAAATAAACTTCATATTAGAGTCGCTTCGAATGGAAAAGCAAGTGTTTATCACTGCTCTTGCTCTACAGGGCCGTGAGAGGTTGAGGAGCAATGCTTCTGAAAACTGTTAGCTCACGTTCGAGAAGACAGGTAGTTTTTAGAGAGCAGAATTAAACAGCTCTCAGCGTGACGACACATGCTGCTGCGCCGTCTCTGTGCTTGACTGTTGCACGCGGGACAAATCTGCTGCTAAAGTCTGTTGTCACACATGCCACTGATGTGAGAAAATGCTCAACAGTTTGAGGATCTTTTTTAGGATCATCACATTCTTCAAGAACCATAAACCCTTTCGGCTCTATAAGGTTCTTGGGTTGGTTATATTGCAATTGTATGCTTCTTTAGATCAGTGGTTCTCTACCATGTTCCTGAAGCCAAGCCTCTCAACACTGCACATTTTGCACGTCTCTTTAATCAAACACACCTGACTCTGGTCATCAGCTCATTTGTAGAGACTCCAAGACCTCAAATGTCCTGTCAGACAGAGGAGACGAGCTAAATTTGCAGTGGTCGGGAATCCAGCATTGTGGTCAGGAACCGCTGCTTTAGAGATGAAAAAAAGTTCCCCACTGAAATGGTCTTATAGTCTTCAGAAACGTGGATGTCTAGAGCATATGAAGTAGCATATGATTAATCGCATCCAAAATAAAAGCAAAAGTCAGTTCATTCATCATAGGATCAGATACGCCGCTATTTTGGCTCATTTTGAGTCAGAGTGACTGTCATGAACGTCCAAAAGTGAGTTTTGATTGAGTAACTTGTAGATCTGTGCTGCTCAAGCTGCAAACTGTTTCAGACGATTAAGTTTGATTTGATGAACCAGTTCAGAAGAATGATTCATTTGTGAACCAGACATCACTCCAGATCGTTTGCCTGAGGCTCTGGATTACAGGTAATAATGGTGTTCAAATAATGATCGTTTCGCTTCATAAGACCTCAGTATATCATCAGGAGCCACGGGTATTCATTTAGTGTTGCCTGTGTATGCTTTTTTTGACTCTCAAAGTGACGGTAGCTGCTGACTTGCATTTTATGGATCACGAAGGACCATAAAATGCAAGTCAGCATTTTATGGTTTCAGCTAAAACATTTCTTTACTGTTCTACTCAAGAAAAAAAAAGTCACCTACATCTTGGATGGTCTGAGGGTGAGAAAATTAACAGCAAGTTTTCATTTTGGGGTAAAGTATCCCTTTAATCTAAACAAGATATTTTGGACAACATATGAAGAGTTCATTTGCAAAAAACGATAAACGCCACTTAAAAAAAAAAAGAGCTGATTGC